CCTCTGCCGGAAATTTAGGATTCACCCCATTTTAACAAAAAAACATTTACAATTCACTTAGTTCTCTTAACACTAACCTTGACAATGGGAACAATTCGAAGTGTCTTTTGTGAAACCAGACACAAGCATAAAAGAATAATAGTACTCACAGCTGTTGTAGACAGGTAGATTTGTAAGGGTCGTTTGCTTATCTTCACGTATTATTCATAAATTCAGATTTGTCACCATGGTGAAGATAATTAAAGCTCAACTTAATAAGATTCTTCGACGGGAAATTTACTCTATTTTATAAGAAATTATCGTTCTTTGTTTCGTTCGTTGCTCGGTAGGGTAGTTTTTGTTCTCAAACATTGACATGTAAATGATGTTTGGATTACAATTCAGGTTTAATTGCTTTTTGTAGACTTAAACACCACACTTCATTTTAACAACCGCTTTCGAGAACGTGTCTTCAAACGGCTTCTTTATCACTGTTTCTGCCACAGGAGATAACGGGCGGACCAAAACTGTTTTTCTTTTTCTAAAATTCCTCAGTAAAAGATAGAAGACTTAAAACTATCACCGATGAATGTTACTGTTTGTTTTGAAGCTTGTTTTTCTGCCCTCATTAATTTGCGGTTAGCAATCAAACTATCAGTTGAGGCTTTTTAATCTTTTGAAAAAGCTATCAGCTTTTTCCGTTTTGGTAATAAAGTTAATTTAGAATGCTTACCGGCAGTTGAAATATGACAGTCAAGCCTTAGATTGTTATCATGACTGCTTGCACAAAATCTGCCGTCTGGCTGTTAGTAATTATTATAAAAGGTTTCGCTTTAAAGCTCTGGTCTAAGAAGAGAACTAAAACTTTAGAGTAAAGACCAAGCACAGGTAAAACACTATTATCATCTTAGAACTTGCTGAGCCCAAAGGTTATCTATGTTTTTATTCCTCGGGTTGATATTGTTCTTAAGATATATATTTTACTACGTTTGTTTGGTAGCTTACTAAGAATTCCCCCATTCACTTAAATTTCATTTCATAAGATCATGATACTTAATTTTTGTAACTGTACAAAACGCGACTGCAGCTAGGGTTTCTCGGTAAAATATTAAGCAACTGGGAATATTGCTTCAGTTCCATCTGTATGATACGCTGTGAACTGATAGCCAATTATATTTCACTTTTTCGTTAGCGAGATTAGTTAAGATTTCGGAAAGCATATCAATCGAGGGAACTTATCGATACAATATGCGGTCAACTGTCCGTGAAGCGTTTCAGAAAGTCGACGTTTTTTCAACTTTATCAATTATTATCACGTCTTAATGTTACTTACAAGGCTTTGCATCATCACTGGAAAGAATTCGCGAATGAAGGAATGCAATTATTGTCTCATAGTAAACAGTATTCTTAAAAATATAGATATTGGATATCGTACAATGTCGATGTTATAGTTGATTATTTTGGCAATAATTCTTGTCATCTGAAACGGTCGTATCCTTATGATTACCATCCAACTGAATTCACTGGGTGTAATAAATTGAGCAAAATTTTTCTTGGAAGTCAGACCTAGAATTTAAAGGTATTTTATTGGTGGTTTATTTTATTGTTATACATTTTTATATTTTGATTTGTCTCATTACACGGTTAAATTAGCTCAAAGGGCCCATAACTATGCCAATCAATATTTGGACCGATCAGTGCTTCCCTGTCTCCGCTAGGTTATATTGTAGTTTAATATTTTACGCTTCTAAAATCAATAATTGCATGTAAAAGGCAATACTTCCCCTCTTCCAACTTCCTTTTCCTTCAGCTTTTCTTTGAACTCGTCTGACCTGTTTGACACTAAGTCGGCCTGCCATCAGAGTACAATGCGCGCTTGACATTTACGGTGTTTTACCCGG